ATTTTACATCTGGTTCACTGAACTGATAATTCCAAGGACTGGCTGGCCCTGCCCACCCCTCTCCTCCCAGGAGTCTCAATGCAGCCCGTTCATTATGTCAGGTAAGTGCAGAGCCCGCATGGAGGCTCTGGGAGGACGAAAAATGGGCTTCCCGGAAGTCCGGAAACAGGCCTGTTTCAGGCCTTAGGTGCCCTGGGGAGGCCGTTACCCCCCTCCCAGAGGCTTGAGGAAAGCCTCTTGAGTCTGAGGAGGGCAAACAACAGGCCTGCCAGAAGTACCGGAAGTCTGAAAACTGTTTCTGGCCTCTGGAGGGCCTCCGGAGCCAGGGTAAGACCGTTTCCCCCTTCTCAGAGGCTCGAGGAAAGCCTCTGGAGCCTGGGGATGTCAAAAATGCCTTCCCTGCTGTGGTACAGGAGGCCAGGTAGGCCATGCCCACCATGGCCACGCCCACCCAGCAACCGGGCAGAGAATCCCATTGCTAACATTTTTCAATCCCACCCCTGGTGTGAACTGGCACCAGTCTGCGGCATGCCAGCAACCGGGCTGTGCAAACAAGGGAAGCCCCATTTGCGGGATGGAGGCAGGACTCAAAACCACGCCCCCACCTGTCAATGGGGAAACCTTTCTCCACAGAACTGGACCCTGGTGCCCAAATGCTTGTGGGGTGCTGCCCTATATCATTTCAGACAAGTGGCTGTCCAGTATTTCTTTAAAACCTCCAGTGAAAATATATTTTGTATTCATATAAAAACTATATGCTGCCATGGGTCCGTATGAAGCGTGGCAGTACCTACACAAGAATACAGAATAACAGATTTGGAAAGGGAACTTGGAGGTCTTCTAGTCTAACCCCCCTGCTCAGGCAGGAAAGCCTATAGAATTTCAGACAAATGGTTGTCCAATCTTCTTAAAAAGCTCCAGTGATGGTGTTGAAAGAAATGTCCTTTTGGGTTCAGCTCCAAGTGGGGAAGAAGACACTGGAGACATGGAGACTGCTTGGAAAGATGG